TGGACCAATAATAAGGTATTGGATATGCATGAATGGATGTGGATTAATTAATCAGTTAAATCTCATTATTAAATTTCGTTATGTAATCATCCTCACTTTGTTGAATGATCGACAATTTTGTTATCGACAAAGTGGAGCTAAAACTATTTCACAAACTATTAGAATGATACAATCGAGATAATAGTTTGATGATCATTCGATAGTGTTTTCTTGTAGAGGTGTTAGAAAAATCGATTATATTAGAGTATTAGAGACGATGTATATGATCATTTATATCTTGAATACTATAATATGTATTGTTGGATTAATGCTTCTATCAAGGTCATTCGGATTGTAGAAATGTAAACCGGATGAAAGGAATTCCGTCTAAATTTGTTAAGTAGAAGGAGAATAGTTTTAAAGATCCATTGGAATGAACTTTTATCTTAAGTTAGGTCACGCACCTCATATCGATCGTCGAGATGCATATCCAATTTTTACCATTACAAGTAAAAAATATGACTCCTCTTATCGTTTGAGTATGCCTCAGCCTAATGTCGGAGTAAATGATTGTCTTAGGAGGATATTATGATGCTTAAGGAAGTAATTATAATATTAGATCGATCGCTAAAATGATTGGTTCCAACTAAGGAATTGATCAAACTCCGCACCAATTGATCCAAAATAATGATCATATCATCGATATATATTTTAGATAAATTTTGAAAGTTTTAAATTAGAAATTTTAATTTAACTATTTTAACTTAGATATTGTAATTTTTTTTATTAGTCATGTGGCATGATCGATCAAAGGGAGAGGTGCATTTCCGAATTTATATACGAGACAAAGGAGAATATTAATAGAGGTGAGAAGATTTTATACCATATCAGAAATTAAATATATTTATTTCTTATCAAGATTTTTAAGAATTAAGAAACAAATAATGATAATTTAGATGTATACCATATATCATTTTTCAAATTAAGAAAATAATAAATCGGATTAGAATTGTACCATATTTGACTTTTTAGAGTAAGAAAATGATAAAAAATGGTTACAACTATGTTATATAAATTTATTCAGTTAATCATTTCTAATTAATAACTATTTATAGATTTTTTTAACTAATTAATTCAATATTCAAATGGTTTCTTATAAGCTTTTTACATGAATACAGGAGAAAATAGATGGTCAATTTTACAAGGACTATTAAATCCTTCTGGTAATTTTGCTAAATCATTACTTCCTCTTTTCTTTCCTCACAAAATTCATATATTTTTAAAATTAATAAATGTAAAGTATATATATATATATACTAATCTCCCTAAATCATATCATAATTTCCCATATATATATATATAGAGAGAGAGAGAGAGTTTTGGATGCCCAAATAATAAATAAATGTACCTGCACAGGTGATGAGAATCCGACCCGTTTTGGGAAGTTGGGTAAGAGATTACTCGATTTGGATCCGCATCGTGGGATCCGATTAAGGTTTCGCGGGATTTCTTCTCAGCCTCTATAAAACCCTCCCACCCCCGAGCCATCCATATCTCTCGTACTTCCTCTTGCTCTGCTGCCTTCTTTCGCCCGGTCCCATTGCCATGGCCGTTATCTCAGATGTCGAAGAAGAGGCCCGACCGCAGGCGTCCTCGTCGTCTTCTTGGGCCGATGCCGACGATGAGGCCTTGGCCTCGGTGCTCGCCAAGCGGGGGCCGATGCCCTTGCTCGAGGCCGCGATCGACCTCGTCAGGCGGCGGACAGAGTTCTTCAAGGACGAGGCCGCCGTGGGCGAGGTCGTGAAGGCGGTGACCGCTGCCAAGGAGAAGTTCGACGCAGAGGAAAGGCTGAAGAAGAGGGCCGCGGACGAGGCCCAGAAGAATCGTCTTCAGGAAGACGTGGCTGCGGCAGCCAACGCTGAGGAGAAGAAGAATTTGCGAAGTAAGCTCGCATCTTTCTTTTTGAGATCCTTAATTCTTTCTTTCTCGTATGATATATATATAACACACCAAACTTGGCTAATTTAGACTAAAAAGGTTAAAGATTAACTGGACGAGAATTGTGTGGAGATGCAAAATTAGATTTTTAGTAGGGATCCTTGATTTTTCGTATACTCTTGGCCCTTTTTTGTGTTTGCTCATTTGATTTTATGGTGATTCCACGGAGCAAAGTCTTAGTATACGGCACGGAGGCATTGTGCTAAAGAAAAAGGTGCCTTATAATTGCTAAAGGTGTTTGTATTGTATTCAGGTCGTGCTTGACACGAGCAAAGATAGATGGACAAGTGATAGCACTGTGAATGATGCATTCTATTTGAATGATTTCACAACCACTTGATTATCAATGGGAAGAAAAACACATTAATTGAATTTTTTTTCAATTTTCTGCATATTTTCTCACTCAGCCAATTCGCTTCCTTCACCGACAATTTCAGTTGGTAGCAATTTGGGCGAATTCATAAGTAGGTGCAGAAAAGTTTGTAACTTATATATGTTCTTGGTGTCATCAGAAATCGTATGACTTCTTAGGAAATGTTTTCCTTCAGATGGAACCATAGTGTAAATGTCAGGACTTACAGGGAAAAGCTATCTTGTTTAAGGTCTGCAATTCGAACCTGGAAAACTTTGAGATAAAAGTTTTCATGTATTATTTTTTTATTCTTGAAGCCTTTGTCTGCTATTTATATGCTTTTAAGCTTTCATCCATGAAGAACCATAACTGTACTTTGTTCTGCAGAGCCAAACTCTGGAAATGGTCTGGACTTTGATAACTACTCCTGGACTCAAACGCTTCAAGAAGTGACTGTCAATATTCCAGTCCCTCAGGGAACAAGATCAAGGTTTGTTACTTGTGAGATAAAGAAGACCCATCTGAAGGTCGGGTTAAAGGGACAACCTCTGATTATTGATGTAAGTCTCTAAATAGTGCATAAGATACGTGACAAATTTTTGTATAACTCTGCATCGAGAAGATTTTATTGACAGAAGCTCTTTTTCTTCTTATATTTTACATGTTCGATGTCATAATTCTTCCAGGGTGATTTTTACCAATCAGTGAAGACAGAAGATTGCTTCTGGAGCATAGGTATGTTTATGCAACTGCATCTGGTGCTTATGTATTCGAGTGTTCTTATGATTTATAAGTATTTGATGTTGTCGTACAGAGGATGGAAATTTCATTTCTGTACTTCTGACCAAGCAAAATAAGACGAACTGGTGGAATTGCATGGTACAGGGTGAGCCTGAAATTGATTTACAGAAAGTACAACCTGAGAGTAGCAAGTTGTCTGACCTGGATTCTGAAACTCGGCAGGTCGTAGAGAAAATGATGGTAAGTCTTTCTCATTCAACGATAAAATCGACTTATCTGTGAATATTATCCTGATTTATGGAGGATTGTTTTCCTTGATTTAATTGTGTTTTTGTCTGGGCCTCATCGTCGAAAATCCTGTGTATTGCGTTCGGACACCAAATCACTTGTGTTTTTTCAATGCTTGGAATTACTTGTGCCTCTGCCTGCCTAATGTCCCTTTGATGAGTGGAACCTTGGTCATGCTATGAGTCATCGGTATCGTAACTTTGGAATGTCTCAATTTTTGCATAAGTTTGTAAAAATTCAATTTGTTGGGATCTATAGGGTACCTATTGCAGTGGTTAAATTCATCACTGATACATGCAGTAAACAGTTATCTTCTTTGTTGAACTATGCAAGAAGTTCATATCACTTACGTATCTGTACTACGATTTTATCTTCTTGTACTGTTCTAGCATGACTCTAATTTTTCTGCTCTTTACCTTTTTCTTTTGAAGTTTGACCAGCGACAGAAAGCCAGGGGTCTTCCAACAAGTGATGAGATTCAGAAGCAAGACATGCTCAAGCAGTTTATGGCCCAGGTGAACAGGCATCTCTGTTCTCTTAACACTTCTCCTGTCCACTTTTTGTCTACCTGCTTGCCTTGAATCTCATCGAGATTTTGATCGTTTTTGCTTGTGCAGCACCCAGGGGTGGACTTTTCAAAGACAAAGCTAGTCTAAGATTTCACTCCCACTCATGTCTTTGGCTTGCAAACAAGTGTGCTTAGCAACAATTGTCTTTTGATCTCCAAGCTCACAAGATACCTGATAATGGAATTTACAACATCGTGATATTATGTAACACTTCAGAGCAGACTCGACAGTTTTGGTTGAAGATCCTCTTTTGTACCCCTTTTCTGTTCTTAGTGTTCTTTTCTGTAGTTGAATGACTAAATCTCTATAAACTGGAGAAAACTTTCATTTGTAGCTTTAAAACCTACATATATGTTTTAGATTTGTGGGTGTTTTGAGCCTTGCTGTGTTGCTTGGAGTGATACTTGGTCATTTATACCATCTGTTGCGAAGTTGTTTGCGCTTGCCGCCGATTGCAGGCAGGTTTTGTTTTGCGAAGCAGGTCAACTTGAAACTTATTTCAGCTCATTGTCATACAAAAACATAAAGGTCTGAATTTTATCCCTAAAGCATGTTACATATTTCATTTATGGAGAGATAAATATGATTTATGAAACATAATTAGTATTAAATATAAAATGCCTACGAATGATACGACCAAAGAAAAGCATTTTTAAATAAAAATGAGGAGAAGATTGTTTTTCAGGGATCAAAAACATGATAAAGAAATATATAGATGAAAACAATTTGGTCCTTGTCTTAGAATTGGATCTAATATGAAATCTTAATGGGTTCTGTCAGATTTGATTTAGGTTTTGAGAATGGACTCATATCTTGAAAGAAAATTTATAAAAATTTATCTTATGAGCTGGATTGTGATCTTTCTAATAAAACATACCAACTCTTAGAGAGGGGTGCATCAAATGTCAGCATTGGTTGCTGCATCAAACATTCCAAATCTTTCTCACAATATTTCTTGCACAAACTCAAGCAGACACACACAGGAATGCAGATTTCAACTGACACCCAATGTTTATGAACATGAACTGTTCTGATATCTCAATCAAAGCAATTCAGTAACCAGTGGCCATCAGTTTAAAGATCATTGATGCATTTCAAGCAGAAACTGTGAAACCAGCAAAACCACAAGAACGACAACCTCTCACAGTTCCTCCACTGTCATGGAATAATAGTCTATCGACCACACACATGAGCTCGTATATAAGTGGCACTCATGCTTGCGTTCTTCTGAGGTGAGCTTCTTCATGGCTTAGGTTACCAGGTAAACAGGACCAAACGCCTGAGTTCCCACAGGATTGTTGTGATTGTCCAAGTACATGTAAGGCACCTCAGTTTCCTCTGCTCTTGTAGGAGTGAAGCAGCAAGCAAGAGGTCCTGAAGCAGCGAGCCAATTGTGTTGCTGAACCATTCCAAATCTTCTACTATTTCCAAACAATGGACCTGAGAACAAACTGCGCTCTGTATCCAAAGGATTCGAGCCCTTGGAGAACTTGGTTGTCGGTGGTGCTTCCTCTGCTGCCTTCTTCTGATGAAACTTAAACCAGGAGGATAGCGACCTCTTCCATGTCTTGTTCTTTCTTTCTTTCATCCCCACCTTCTTCCTGAACGAGTCAGAATTTGGCAGTGAGAATTCTCTGTCTTTTGCTTGATTTCTTCCTTCTTCTACGATCTGATCAGAAAATTAACATGGCAACAGAATAACATCAAAGATTAAACCGTTCAGTTCTAAGAACAAGAATGAATGAACTCTACTCTTCTCCTCTTTCTTTAGAGACTGAAGAGTACTTGGACATACATGCATTTAGATTTACGACTCCTCGATCTTTCTATTCATCTTTCACCAGCGTGATAGATCATGAAAGGGCAATTCTCTTGCACCAGTGGCAATTCTAAGGATGGCAAAAAGTGTGAGAAAACAAGTACCTTTGGGAAGCCCGACTGGAGATCATCATAACCAATCGCACGGCGGTTCCCATTTTTATCTTTGGGGAAAACGGGAGGCTTCTTCATCTTGCGACTGCAACCCACAGAAAGGAACAAGCAGTAGATGTGCAGTACAAAGAGAGAGGTAAGCCTATGAAGCAAAGAATAAATCCACAACCAAAAGCATCATTCTCAAACAAGGTTCCTGAGTGCCTTGCTGGATTGACACATAAAAGAAAGCAGAAATTTCTTGATCAATGTTGATCTTTTTGCAAAGATTGTCTCATAAATGAAAGCTTAAAAGAAAATGAGACACTTTGAGAACATGATGAACAGATTATCATTAAACAGGAAAGAAAAACAGAGAGAAAAAAATCACAGAAGAAAAACAGAGAAAAAAAAGAAAACTAGAGGAGGATTTATACCTCTTCTGCATTGCTTTAGCTCAACAAGAATGAGTAGCCAGATCCTGGTGTAGAAGTTTTGGAGGGCAAACACAAAGGCAGTGATATAGAAAGACACAGCAGAGGAAGGCCAACATAAATACAATTCTTTAACTGCCATTTACAAACACAATTACTGGCTTTTACTCTGTTTCATTAAACACCAGTTGTCTTTCCTTGATCAATGGAGTATTGGATTTTCTTGTGGAGCAATAGCCTAAATCTTGGCACCTTCCAAGTTTGGATATTGTAGGCTTTTAAGTCCACATTTCATTCTAACCAGAAATTGTTGTGTTTGACAATGTATGATTCTGAGCCTTTTATTTTGCAGGGGTTCAACTTTTCATACTGACCAGAATATGGTGTGTCTGATGATACTGTATAGTCTTGTAACTTGTTGAGAGAGAGATCTTGTGAGGGAGAAAGCTATGCAAGCGCATCATATGCCTTGCAGCTCATTTGCTTTATTCTTCATAGTCATCCATCTGCTTTGTTGATACTCAATACTTACCTTTGAGAAAAGATAATCTTAAATATTTTAATTTATAATGTCATGTTCCCATCACAATCTTTGAAAATACAACATCTGATTGGAAAATTGATATGTCATCCTTATTATTATTTTTTATCTTATTTCTCGTTACTACTCTCCCTCCTCAACTCCACCCAGGTCGTCTATAAAGATATTCTCGCATCGTTCTTATCGATCAGTGTATCGTTCTCATCTACTATAACCATAATAGTCACTTGCGACTTCTACGATGTTGTTGTTCATTATTATCAAAAATATAATTGGAACATTAAAATTATCTTTTTGTTTATAAAATTAATGATGTTACGATAAATAAAATTAAATATTTTACTTTCATAATTATAAAATTTTTAATATAAAATTTTTAATATAAAATTTTTAATATAAAATTTTTAATCTATGAATTGAAATGCTAAAAAGATATAATTACGGAACAGCATGGCACTGATTTCATTTGCATCTCAAAAAGAGAGAAATTTTCCTTCCAAACATGAATGAACATTGATTGCGGCTGTTTAGGCAAACGGAATCGCTCTCCACAAATTCCCAAGGTCGTTGCACATCTTACCATTTCTGCGATAGATAACATCTGATGCACTTCTGTTTTCTCTTTGATTTAAAGAATTAGAAGCAAAGTCTAATCTGTTGTCTTTAGATGCGGGTTGGGTGGGTGATCTAATCCTCCGAAAGCGATCCCTGAATCCATTATGTTCGATGTGCTTTCAGCCTCATGAACTGTTGTCCTCGAATGTTTCTCTTGTTTCTTTCCATCTAAAATGCCGGAAGCAAAGTCCAAGTTTAATTTCAGCTGTTCAGCATGTCACCTGACTAGAAAACAGAAGACAGCTCCGTGTGCGTTCTTCCCACTGCAAGGACCGATACCTGCGGCCGTTCTGTGGGCCCATTTTGGGTTCCAATCTAGAGAAAGGAGACATCTTTCCCCCTATTTATTTATCTTTTTTTGGGGGCTTCCTGTGGGCGATCTCTGACGTGAACAGGCCATCTCGCGGACACCGTGCGCTGAGGAGGTAGTTTTCAACACTATCAAATTCATGACGCGTCGATTCGCCACGGAGCGACCTAACACCCTGCTCTTGCGTTCGTTTTCCTCTTTCCCCGGTCGCTCTGTACGCCTCGCTTTTCCTCTGCCCCGTCCGCCATGGATCGCGCAGCCGCCGCTCCTCCTGTTTCTATCGACACTATCAATCCCAAGGTGCGATCTTTCGTCGATTTCACTGACAAAAGATGTGATCTCTGGATTTGGGTTTGATCTGTTCTTTTTCGTTTTACTAATCGTTTTTTTTTATTTTTTTGTTCTTGTGTGGTAAAGTCTTAAGCTCAGTGTCCGTATCTCGATTCACTATGCAAAATGATCGCCTGTTCTATCAATCCAAAGGCGCGATATTTCGATGATCTAACTGATAAAGATGCCTTTTTGATGTGATCGCTGGGCACTGGTGATGATTCGGGATTGTGCTTGTTGTTTCCTTGTCCGTTCTTCTAGTCGTCTAGTTTTTCTGTAAAGTTCGCCTGCTTTGAGCTGCTTTATTATTTTCAATTGGGTATGCAAAGTAATGCTTTTGCTCTTTCGTTGTTCTCTCATTTGAAAATTTCCTTTTGGTTTTTGTCATGCATCGGGGAATAGGCTAATATTAGTGTCATTTTCTATTCTGTAATTAATATCACAAATTGATTATGTTATGTTTTTTTTTTCTATTACCAAATACAAGATTACTTAATCATAATTTCATGCCTTTCTAATTTATAGATTGGTTCTACGTTTAAAATTTTATATACATAAGCTACTAATTTTGAAGTCTATTTTTCACTCCCTCTTTCCTAATCGGTCTTCTTCATGGCATCGTTCTGCGGTATGCCTTTTGTCATTGCTTTTGTCGATTTGGTTGGATGAGCATTCCGCTTGTTCAATAGCATGAAGTACTTACTATGCATATAGTTTGAGGTGTTTCTTTGTTTTGATGTTCTGAACATGTGACTGCATCTGCATTTCATTTTTATTAATTCTGAAATCCTTATGCCTCTCGATCTGATTTATGTCATCTTCCTGCTATTGAATCTATATTTTAGATGAAGTACGACTAGGACTTCATGATTCTGATTTAGTGGATTCTCATTTGTGTTCTATTATTATGATTTAGTTAATTTCTATCTGTATTCCATCATATTGTTCTGTTTGTGGGTAAAAGATATTGATCTTGGCATTATGTTGTTCTTGAATGAAAGGTGGAATTTGACATTCAGACAATTTTCCGTTTGTCCTTCAGGTTTTGAAATGTCAATATGCTGTTCGTGGTGCAATTGTCAGCCATGCCCAGGTGCTTATCTCTCTTGAATATTCATTCTATGTTTTCTACTTCTTTGTTGGATCCATATTTTACCAAATGATCAAAAGTGAATATTCATTCTATGCCCAGGTGCTTACCAAATGATCATTTGTCATCCACACAATGAGTATGGGCAAATGGTCTTGGATATCTTTGTTCTTTGTTCCCTTTTTTGTTCTTTTAGTGATTTGCCAATTAACTCAGGTCAACTACAATGATCTAAGGCAACTTCTGCCTCAAGTAAAATCTTGATATATTTTTTACTGACCGTGGTGTTTTAACTAATGATTTCTAGATGTCTAACAAACTTAACATCTAACTGTACTAATAAAAAATGGAATTTGTTTCATCATATTTTCACCTGCTTTATATATATACCTTATTTGTCTTTGGCGTCTCTCTTTTCTCTCTCTTTCTCTCTTCAGATATGGATCCTTAAGGTTGTACATTTCAACCATCGATTGATGATGAAAGATAATGGTGATTGCAATATTATAGATCCATACACGCTTTTTCTATCCTGGATGTTCATGGTCTTTCTTTCATAAAATTTAGGTATTGTCTATGAATATTGCATAATATCAGCATGTTTAACATTAAGAGTCATTCTTGTCTTAGGATCTTTCCTTTGCTAGCCGTGTGGTGGCTGATCCAGGTCAAGGTTAAAAGGTGCATAGATTTCATGTTTCAAACCTGTGTCACATCTTTGAAACATGATTTTTTTTCTTGACGAAACTTACATTGTCATTGGAACATACTACCCTGTGGTGGTTACAGCCCACCAGCTAGAACAAAATTTTCAGTTCTCATTATGTCATGTGTTGAGGAAAAGACATAACACAGGAATTTATCTTGCTGAATGTTAATTTAACAAGATATTTGTTAAACATAATGTTCTTTATCTTTTTTTCTGGCACAGAGGTTACAACAAGAGTTGCAAACCAGTCAAGGATCTCTTCCTTTTGATGAGGTAACACTTCTCTCCTCCTTTTTTTCCCCTTGTCGCACCTGCTTTTGTTCATAGGATAGTTTTTACCCTTGAAAATTTTAGAAAAAAAACCTTCATTTCAGCTTGTGTCATCTTTCAGTTAGCTGAAATTTCAAATTATCTTGTCAGATACTGTACTGCAATATTGGGAATCCTCAGTCTCTTGGTCAGCAGCCAATTACCTTTTTCCGAGAGGTTAGTAGTTAGAACATTGGATCTTGTTTACTTTAAGAAGCTTCAGTTTCTTCCCAGTTTTTACGTGCCCTATTTCAGGTTCTTGCACTATGTGATCATCCAGCCCTTTTGGGCAAAAGTAATATTGATGCCTTGTTCAGGTATTTATGGACCATAACATTGTACATTTGGGTTGAAAATGATCAGAATTTTGCTGTTATTATATTTATATATTATCTTCCCAAGCTTACTTGAGTTTAGTTTTCCTGGTTATTGTCTACTAAAGTTGCTATTCGATTTGATGAATGAAAACAGTTGCTAGACCTGAAGAAGCCTATTTGGTATCCTGTTAACCCGTGGATTCTTTTATTTCTTTTAGTCTCTTGTAAATCTTTGAGATGGAATAAAGTTACAGCTTGAATAGCCATTTTTTAACAAATGATTTCTTGGTGCATTGAGCCGATGATTTCGTACAATATTAGGAAAGTCAAAGGTTTCTCTTAGCGACTTACCTTTTTGCCAAGTTATGTGAACAGTTTTCAGCTACTAATTTAACATATTTAATATATATTCCAATTTTCAAGTATGAATATATCATATAGTGCCTAAACTTAACATCTTATGCCTTATCACAGTAAAGATGCCATTGGAAGAGCACAGAAGATACTAGACTTGATTCCTGGAAGAGCAACAGGAGCATATAGTCATAGTCAGGTAAGAACATGCCTTTATCTCTTACCATTGATTTTTGGAACATGACAAGTCCGAAATGGCTATTGTACTTGTAATGTCACAGGGTATTAAAGGCCTACGAGATGCAATTGCAGCTGGCATTGCGATTCGTGATGGTTTTCCTGCCAATGCAGATGATATTTTTCTAACTGATGGAGCAAGCCCCGGAGTACATACTTTACCCTTTCTTCTACTTTCTTTGTAATAATGATGAAGGGAAATAACATGCTGCTGGAATTTCTTTTTCTTCTCGTAGGTACACATGATGATGCAGTTGTTGATAAGGTCTGAGAATGATGGCATCCTTTGCCCCATTCCTCAGTATCCATTGTACTCTGCATCCATTGCTCTTCATGGTGGCTCTCTTGTATGTGTTCATCTGTTTTTTTTTTTTTCTTCCCTATAGTGTGCTCGGATTAAGATGCAGTGTATTGCCATCATATTCCTCATTTAAAAAAAAAAAAGTTTCACGGGGTGTACATATGTGGAAATAGTTACTAGAGTATGCACTGTAAAATCTCTGCTGCTACTTTTAGAAAGTTATATAAATGTAAATTTGTATTTGGTACATTAAGAAACTGAATAAGCTACACCTTTAGCTGTTTAAGAGTTCAGATTTTGTTTAGTTTCACAAACGTCTATCTTCTCATCTATTCTATTTTAAATACATTCAGAGTTTCCTCTGAAAGTTGGACTGTTTTGTTCAGGTCCCATATTACCTTGACGAGGCAACAGGATGGGGGTTGGAGATTTCAGATGTTAAGAAACAATTAGAAGATGCTCAATCCAAAGGCATAACTGTTAGGGCATTAGTGGTTATAAATCCAGGCAATCCCACTGGACAGGTATGATGTGATCTTTTACTTAGATTGTTTTGAACCGTAGGTGGATTATGGGGACTACTTAGCAAAAAATATATATTTTTTTTAATTTTGCTAAGCAACTTGTATTGTTGAACAAATAAAGGTGGCTTTCAATCTAGTTGCTTAATGATAATTACATCCATTTTGCATTTCTTGAAAATGATTGGCTTATGTCACATATTGTACTAAACATCAACAATCCAAAATGATTTGAATTTTTCAGATTAATGCCTCCAACATGATGTTTGAAGTATCATTTCTATTGTTTAAAGTATCATTTCTGGTACATTTGGGAGCATGCATTTTCCTTTGTTTAAGAACAATGAATTATCTGAATTTTCTCCTGATCTTTTTGCAGAGGGAACAAGTTTTTCACTTTTTTTTTTTAATAAATAGCAGGCCACTAACAAACACAGTTCTTTGTTTCCAAAGCATCATTATGACGAGGTCTCCTTTTAATCTGCATTCCGTATAGTTGATTGTTTGCTTTTCTTCCAAAAGGTTCTTGCTGAGGAAAACCAGAAGAAAATAGTTGAATTTTGCAAGAATGAAGGGTTGGTTCTTCTAGCAGATGAGGTAAGGCAATCATAAAACCTAGTGAAATGATCTTTAGAGTTTGAGAGATTTCTAAAGACAAGATGGTTTACATGTAATATTCCAAGATCCATTTTCAAGGATTTTAGTTACTAATGCAATGTGGCAAACTTTTGCAGGTATATCAAGAAAATGTCTATGTCGACAATAAGAAGTTCAACTCTTTCAAGAAGATTGCAAGGTCAATGGGATATGGCGAGGAAGACCTTTATTTAGTATCATTTCAATCAATTTCCAAGGGTATGTCAATAACCATTTCTTATGAATTGCTGTGATCTGGATGTTCAATAACATGTACTGTCATTCCCATAAGGTTACCATGGAGAGTGTGGAAAAAGGGGAGGTTACATGGAGGTAACTGGTTTCAGTGCTGAAGTTAGAGAACAGTTCTACAAAGTGGCATCTGTCAATCTCTGCTCCAATATCTCTGGCCAAATTATTGCTAGTCTTGTCATGAATCCACCAAAGGTGAGCGTTATTGTGTTCTCACTGATCTATTTACTACTTGAAAGCTCTTTAATTTAAGAACCTTGCTGTTAGATAGTGACTGATAGGAGTTCATGTAAAATACAGTGGAAAGTAATTTCTTGGTTGTTACAGTGAGGTATAGAATGTCAATGAAAGAAATAACTTTGATAAGTTTGCAGGTTGGAGATGAATCTTATAAATCATTTATCGCTGAGAAAAATGGGATTCTTTCATCGTTAGCTAGGCGAGCAAAGGTCAGTACCATGTTATTCTTCCTTGTTATTGAAAAACCTATTTACTTGACTTGCAAGAGACAGTTCCAGGGTTTCTGGCACTCAAACATATATGCTTGCAGTAACAAACCTGTTTTGATTCCTCACATGAAGTGTTAATTGCCCACAAGTGGCTTCCCTATTTCAAGTTTATGAAAGATTATATTGTAATCCTTATTGCAGGCTTTAGAAGATGCATTTAACAGCTTAGAAGGTGTAACATGCAACAAGGCTGAGGGAGCAATGTATCTCTTCCCACGCCTTCACTTGCCTCAAAAGGCGATTGATGCCGCCAAGGCAGTTATTGCAGCACCAGACACGCTCTATGCTCGCCGCCTTCTTGATGCCACTGGTATTGTTGTTGTTCCCGGATCTGGCTTTGGGCAGGTGAGGCTGGGTTATATTTCGATACATGGGCATCCTTTTTTTTTCCTTTTTCTCTTTTGAACCAGTAGTATGAATGGCAGCTTCATGGTTATATTGCTAAGCTTTTGCTCTTTTCCTGTTTATCTTGTGGAAGGTCCCTGGAACATGGCATGTGAGATGTACAATCCTTCCACAGGAGGATAAGATTCCAGCCATTATATCCCGGCTCAAGGCGTTTCATGAAGCATTCATGGATGAATTCCGCGACTAAGCCCAAAGACAAGTTAATGTGCTTTTATGACCAGGAATACAACTACTATCACCAGATCACCAAATATAATAAGCATCCCAACCATCCATGCAGTCCTTTTTGCGGATGGATCAATCACATACTTTTGCTTCAATTGTGATGACACAAAGCATAATAACAGCCATATCTTATGTATTGGTTTGAACTAAAATGATATGGAATATTTGTAGGACTATTTGATTTTTGGGCTGTTGATATGAAAACATTTTTTTTCCTTCTTCTGTGAATTGCAGTCAATAATTTCATATCCACAGTTTCGCGGAAAGGAACATGTTTTAAGGATACTCTGAGTTGCAGCAGGTAATTGCAAGGACACTCCAAAGTTATCATGTTAATAGTATATGCTGCAAGCCAATGGTAAGTTTCAAATCTCAGCTTAATTATTCTGTTCAACTTGAAGGAACTATAGGGAACTTTGATGTCATGAGTCTGCTCTTATTTGATGCTCCTCACAGCATAGGCCATGGGAATAGTTGGCTGCTAATTGATTTGTGGATGCAGATGGATTACCTGTTCTTATCTGCTCCTTTCATGAAATGTTTACAATTTTCACTTGCAAATAATTGTTGGACAGGCATGTTTTCTACTCTATCATGAAAGGCCACAACTCACAGGGTAAGCCTTTCCACTGTTGACAATGACAATAATCTTCAACAAGAAAGTGGAGAAGGTTGGTAGCCATCACTTGCATGCAAATCTAATCAGATGGTTAATAGAGAAGAAAAGGGAATTATACAAGGAATTACTGCTACTTGTCTATTACTTCATCTGAAAGCTAGTGCAGATGATAGCAGCAGAGCTGCTGTCAGAAACAACAGATTCATCTACAGATTCACAGGAGGCCTTCTAAAGTGTTCTGAGTAACCTATGATTCAGAGATTCTTAGATGTCCCTGCTATTGGACCACATTGCCACACCCATATGAGGTAGAGTTGTTTACACTGTGTGTCTCCTTCAGCAGGATTCAAGGACTCTGGAAGAGATTCTTCATCACACTTGTAGTTTATTGGGAGAGATACAGATGATCTCTTTAACTTGTACCTATCAAAATCTTCAGGTACAAGCAAAGGTGTAGGTTTAGTCCTCTTTACTTTCTGAAGAATAAGGAAGTCTTAATCTTTGCTGGCTATACAACACTGGTTGTTCATGATGGATGGACCAAAGTGAACTGAGAACTCTGTCCCCTGTCTCTAGTTTTCATTTCCTGCAGAACTTGGATCCCAGAGGGCTCACTGTGGTTGCCGATATGTCTCTTTTGATCATCACCAAGATGATTCTCACGGTCGTGAAAACCCTTTTTGGATCTGTAACAATCTCTTCTGTTGATGCTGTTATGTGTTGTTTTAATGCTAGAGATGACCGCAGGAAGCTTCGACTGAAAGCACATGAATGCAAAGAAGAGTTGGGTCGTCGGTTGTCATCTTCTTCTAGTAGTAGCAGCCTTCAAGGAAGGAATTCATCATTCGTCCAGCCCACTCATGAAGACCTTTGGGCTTTTCATTGAATCCATGGACATGAACGAAGAGGTAGAAGGATGCTTCGCTTGATCGACCCACACACACCCCACTTTGTCATCTTCCCACATTTCCCAAGAAAAATTCAAACAGAAGCCAGCCGAATTGAGGGCCAAGAACCAATTTTTATTAGAGATAGAGCTTTAGATTCAATACTAAATTGCTATTCTCTGCATGAGTGCAGAGGCCAATTGACTAGCTCTACTAAATCGTGCTTAATGATCATAGCAATGCTGTGAGTGGCCTTGAAGCAAGCAAGCAAGAGGACACAGCGGACACAATATGAAAAGAAGCATAGCTCTTTAGCCTGTAGCCATGTCGCAGGACCGAGGAAGAAGCTTCCCAAGGGTTCAAACTACTCGCTCTTCTCGTGACACCGTAATGCACAGTTGCCTTCTTCTTCTTCTTCTCCCATTTCTTCCCTTCTTCGAATGCTGCAGATGAAATGGGGAAGGCCAACCTTCTTCGGTTTCTCAGTTGAGGGTGCTTTCCAATGCCTTCCAAAAGAAGAACACGACTGTCGTTACAGTCAAAGAAAAGCAACCCACCGAGGCCCCCCAATTCACCAGCAGATATTTTGTTTCTATCTGCCAAAGTCTGACAGCTTCTTCTCAGGGTAAAGAGGAGACTGAAAAGAGGAGGGAGGTAGTAAATGAGCAAAGCTTTCATCCGTAAACATATGATGCAGCTCAGGGAAGCAAGCGAGGAATCTAGAGGTTCCTCAAGCTCCATGTCGGTTATCACTACTGGCTTCTCCCCCATGGACAGCATGACCCCTTCATACCTGCAAGCCTCTACTCTTTTGCCAGCCATTGGAAGGGTGAAGGCCTCTCTCCCTCACTCTAGTGATCTCTTAGTCTTATAATGCATTTGGCTAATTCCTTCTTCATTTTGTTCAGCATTCATTAGACTCCAGCTCCTACTTCAGCAACAAGGGCAACCCATTTGTTGACTCATTCCCTGATCCACTCTGCAAGCTCAACCTCAAGGAGACATCAGACTTCGTCAAGGCATTTCCAATGAACACAAAGTGCAGCAGCGATAACAGGGGGCTGCTCGAAGCCTCAAGTCAGAGGAGGAGAGAAGGATTAAGCTTAATGGGACAGAAAAGGCTGGAGACTCCTTCAACCCCTGGGAAGCCTGTTTTCAGCTTCAGCCCTGGGCACCTTTACAGGAAGAACATTCCTTCCAAGTGGGATGATGCGGAGAAATGGTTGATCAGTAGCTCTTGCAATGAATCCCCTGCTCATGTGACAAAACCAACAGACTCATCATCAAAAAGTTCCAGGCAACATGGCATTCTTCCACAGAAAGGTGACTCCTTTGCTGAGAAGCAGATGAGTTTTGCTGAGAGAAAGGATCTAAGCTCCCCTATCCCAGGTTTTGATGGTCCAGTTATGTCCATGGACCCAATTGTACCTTTCAGTGGAGCCTCTTCAGAAGTACTCCTTAAAGGTTGATATCAGCAAACTCTGACTTCCCAATCATAGATATAGTTTTCTCACTCTCATTTTGATATCTATTTATGTCTGAGTGCTTGAAATTAGAGATTTATTTTGGTATATGCAAGGGCTGGCTCACTTATTTAAACCTGCATGATTTCTTTCAACATTTAGAGCTGTCTTTGAATTTTTTTTCTCAGCTTTCTTGGTTGTTTGTTGATCATCCACACATTGTTACACTTCTTATGTTCATCAGTACTGTCCAATGGTCGAATACTTACCTTGTTATATGAAATATTAAGTACTTCTCTTTTACACTGTCCTCAGATTCAAACAAGTGTTCCACCTTCTGAAAGTGTTCAAGTTTTTAGTAATTATGGCTCTGTTTATGTGTTTTTGGTTCTTCACTGCACAGAAACATAAAAGTCATGTATAAAACTTTGGTGCAGATAAGTTCACAAACAATGCAGATCAAGTCTACCCAAATTTTAGGTACTCAGAACCATCTGAAGAAGATTTTGTTTCCAGAAACTCATGCTTTGGACCACCCATGGAAGATACAACGACAGCTGCTGGAATATGCGAGGTTCAGCGCAGAGACATTGGCACTGAGATGACTCCTTTAGGGAGCTCAACAGCAACAAGATGCAATACTCCAATTAAGAGCTCTTCACCAGCAAGGCACAACACTCCAGCTGACAGATCTGGAGCTTTGGTTCCTTGTAACACATGCATCGATATTTCTGAGCTTAATGACTGCCACTTTGCCAAGCTAAAGCTTAGTGCACAATACGACCCAATCGTATCAAATTGGAGCACAAGGGAAGAGGAAGAAGAGGAGGTATCAAGGAGTTTGAGGCACTTAGAAATAAGCAGCGGAAGGACGAGCATTGGAGTATCTTGGGCTTCTGCCTGGGAAGAAGAAGAGAGGACTAAAAGCTGTCTCAGGTTGATCACTTTTAAGAAAATTCATCGACATCGTGTCTCACAAATGAACATTTTGGTTTTTGTACTACATATGTTGAAATTTCTCTTTTATCTGCTAAACTTGCTTTTCTTACCACATCAGATATCAGAGAGAAGAAGCAAAAATTCAAGCTTGGTTAAACCTTCAGAATGCTAAAGCAGAAGCTCAGTCCAGAAAGTTGGAGGTAACGTACACAAATCTCATACTTTTGTAATTTTCATAGCTTTAAAATTAGATGCTTTCCGATTATGTAGGTATGTATGGTTAAGAATCAAGAATCAGGTTTTGAAATATATCATGGTAATCTCAAGATTCTATGAATAGAAGACTGTCTCATATGATAATGCCTTAAAACATGAAAGAGGAGCCATCCCTACAATCAAAGGTTTTGACACTTGCAAAAACGTCTGGGTCTATCTAATAATCTTGATGTGTAATGTTAAACTGTTACTTGGTTTTCTACTATCTCTCACTAGTCAGATGCCCATCCTGCATTTGATCCTACCTTATGCATTTATGAATAGTCCACACTGAACTGCAAAACAAAAAAGAGAAAAATTGTTCCTAAAATAAAACTTTGTGACACACTCACATAATAATCTAACTAAATATTTCTGTCGGATCTTTGCATACCATATAGAAATTGTCCAAACTCAAAAAATAAGCATCTTCTGCATTGGATGTATTTTTGTCCCCAATTTTAGGGGATTTCTGTTACATAAAAACTTTGAGGAACTGTGTTGCTTCCTATTGTTAACTTTAGTCAGCTGTTTTTTACTGTTCAATTTGGTACTTTGTTTTTTCACTTTAAGACAAAAGCTCACAATATCTTAATGTTTCCCATTTCCTGCATTAAGAAGAAGAAAATAGTTTATTATCTCTTCCAGGAAATTGAACAGTGCAAGTACAATACTGTCTGGTCTACCTCCATTCAACACTGTATTATTTTATCACCCCCTCAGTGTCTTTTAGCTGCACATCATGTAGTAGCTGTGAATAGTTTGAAGAGCCACAAAGCATGTCAGCTGCAACATTTCCTCGAGCCCCTACATCTGTTACCATCTTTTCTCCACTTCTTTCTTATTGTCTCCTGTTCCCTCCAGCCTGCATGTGCTTACTGAACTCCTCTCTGTTTCCAATGAGACTGCTGTCATCTTCCTCTCAAAAAAATGATCGAGTTTGAATGGCTACTCTTTGTTATCCTTCTTTAAGAAGCCATTCCTCAATAAAAGATTTGAGTGGTCACTCCGGGAAGTCAATCAAATATTTGTTCTTTAGCATGCATGTGAAGGCATTTCAATGCGAGAATCTTGTCTGCTCCTCTTGGTTAACTCCAGACCTTTGGTCGTTTGGTCTTCAAGATTCAGTGGCTTGAGCTATTGATGTGATATGTGCATGTTCTTCACTTTCTCTTTTCACCATGATTCCTTTTCTTTGAGCAAAATGATGAAATCATTCTCGCAACTCTCAAATTTTCTTTGTTAATTGATTTATGATATTTCAAAATAGAAGGTTTATGTCCCAAAACCATAATCTGGTTTCACTGCAGTACACTTTCCATACAATAAAAATAACAGGCAGGATGTGGTGCGTTTGTAGGTGAAGATACAGAAGATGAGATCCAACTTGGAAGAGAAGCTGATGAAAAGGATGGCAATCGTTCACAGGAGGGCTGAGGAATGGAAGGCAACAGCACAGCAACAGCACTCCCAACAGCTAAAGAGAGCATCTGAGCATTCACAGAAGATGAAGAGTCAGCACAGCTCTCGATTCCCTGTCAACTCAACTTGTGGTTGCTTCCCTTGCAACAACCAGCTCTAGTACAGACCAAACAGTGACCATGTCTTCTCTCTATAGACCAGAAAAGTAATGCAGCCAAAGGATCCAAAAATGACTGGGCGCATTGTGAACCTGTGATATCTCTCTTGTATTCTTCACAAAGGATAATTATTCTGGTGTTTCCTATTTGGCTTTGTTGATGAAAAAGATTGGTGGATTTTGGTATGTTAATAGAGTTCGTAGTAAAGGTAAAGTTACAATGGAAAAAAAGACTCCCTCAGTAGGATCTACACCTTAAGATGGCTCTGACCTCTCTCTCTCTCTCTCTAGAGATCTGGAAAGGCCTACATATTTATTTATTCTTTGTCTCTTGGAGCTACCAAGATATCATTAGGAATCCTAAACTTTTGTGCTACTTTGACCAGATTTTGGAAATGCAAAGTTCTATAAATTGTTCCATCACATCCCACAAAGAAGAAACTTTTAGAGAATGGCAACATATCACTGTGAATCTTCTTTCATGACTGAAATGAGAAGATTATTGTGGTTACGTATCCTTAATATTATTATAGTATTAAATAATATATTACTTTAGGAGCATTACAACAAGAGGGCATTTGGTCTAGTGGTATGATTCTCGCTTAGGGTGCGAGAGGTCCCGAGTTCAATTCTCGGAATGCCCCAATTATTATTGCCTTTACTTTTTGAATTTATTCCATTGATGTTATTTTGATTTAATTGCATGAAGGTTTTGGTCTATGATTAATTTAGTCTTCATAAATATTTGTTTTATATAAAATATATTACTTCCCTCTTTTTTTATATTTATTTTAATCTGTGATTATTTTTTTCTTAATCTTTTTACACCTTATTAGTTCATTGCTGTAGTTTCATTTCTATCTTTAAAAATATACAGAAAACTTAGAAACCATCTAAAACTTCAAGTTCATTTCATTAGTTTCTATAGTCTATTTGAAGCTTTGGTTAATACCATAGAATATATTAGATTATGTGATCCTATTTAATTAAGATATATTATAGATATGATTGGATTCTGATAATGATTATTAACCAATAGAAATGAAGTTCAGTTAAAATAAAATTTCTTAGGAGATAATCTTGACAGAAGAAACTCTCCTAATAATTTATCTAATTTATTTGATTTTATATAAATAATAATAATTTCGTAATTTCGTAAGAACGATAGAGGTCATCATAACGTGTGATGCTTCCAAGATACTCTCGTCTTCCTCTTCCTTCTCCAAAGCACAACTTTAGCTAAATTATCTGCTCTGAAAACAAAATACAATAATTGGTTCCTTGAGATGACTGTTTAAGACAGCAACTTTGCTTGGGGAAAGGGTAATTCTGCACACGAGTTGTGAGGTATGCAACAATCCTCCAAGATTAGTACATACAGATGAGATGAGAGACCAGAAAATATCTGACCACCAACGATGAGCTACATCAGCATTCGGTTGATTCCAGCTTCGTCCTCTCCTCAATAATGGCGATGATCCTTTATCGCATCATCGTGCTCTACAGGAACAGGAAGCAGTAGTGGAACTTCACCTAAGCCCAACTCGTCCATCGTCAACAGAGCTGTCTCACGGCCGTCTCCCACTGCCGACCTCCTTGCGTTTCGCTTTCCTCCTGGACCTTTTGCGTTGGAGTTATCGCGGATTCGGTGCATGCATCTGCTCTCCAACATCAGCTCCAACGTTCGCCCCGAAGTCGTAGCGCGCATTTGTCGCTTGTGGTTGCTCGCATCAATCCACACGCTGCACTACGCGTCCCGCCCCGGGCCGCCATTGACGACCAACACAGTCTTCGTCTCCGCGGCGACGGCGTTCGAGGTCGCTTCGCAATAGCAAGCCAAAATTACAAATCCATCCCTCCTAAATAATTAATTTTTAATATTTATTTCCTTGAATTTAAGTAAATTAGTTATTTTTGTTACTATTAGTTGAAAATTTAAATAATATTAATATACTTTCAATTATAATATTTATGATTTTTTATAAAAAATATTAATGGGAGGGAGAGAGATGTAAAAAACCACTGTTAGTAATATAATATAAATAATAATAAAGACTTAGTTGTTGTTTACGACTAACCATAGACCATATGTTTTGATTACCTTAGTCAAAACTTAGATCATGTGAATAAGTAAGAGATCAATTTTCTTCCTCTTCCTCATGTTTTAAATGAGCATTGAACATTGAGCATCGACAAACGATTAAGATCATTTAACCTAATAAGTTCGCAGCCCAATCTGATTTGACCCTAATTGGGCAGATACAGGGCCCCACCCATGAGACGAATCATCAAAGGACCATTTCTCTACTCCATGCTTATCCGAATCCCCTTTTGTTTTATTTATTTATTTTATTTATTTATTTATTTATTTTTCTATTCTTACATAATTATTATTTATAATATTTCCCACCATCCCAATTGCCGTTTGATATAAAACCGCCACCGCAACTGTCCGAGAAAAGGCATTCTTTTGCTTTGCTTCGTTCTTGTGCGAGAGGAGAGAAAAGAGGAGAAACCGAGAGATGTGTGGAGGAGCGATCATCTCCGAGTTCATACCGGCGGCAGCGTCGCGGCGGGTGACGGCGGAGAATCCGTGGCCGGGCGGGAGGAAGAGGTGGGGGAAACAGCGGAGGGTGGAGGCCGAGGACGACTTCGAGGCCGATTTCCAGGAGTTTGATGATGAGTCGTCGGAGGACGAGTTCGATGACGAGGAGGAGATCGATGAGGTCGGTGTAAAATGCTTCGGTTTTGGGTCGAAACCCTGCTTCTCTCGAGGTAATTAGAAGAAACTTGTGAGAATTATTGCCATCTTTGCCATAAAGATTATTTTTCGCCTTTTGTTGTGGAAAATCATCTTTAAAAAAAAAAATCGGTTCTCCTTCTCGTATGGATTACTGATTACTGAGAATATGCTCATTAATTTGAGGTTTTTCTTTCTTTTGAGCAGATAACAAGAATGAAAATTGGGGTTTATACTTTGGATTTTGCTTTGACAGTATAATATTAATTGAGGTTTTTCTTTCTTTTGAGCAGATAACAAGAATAAAAATTGGGGTTTATACTTTGGATTTTTCTTTGACAGTATAATATTAATTGAGGTTTTTCTTTCTTTTGAGCAGATAACAAGAATGAAAATTGGGGTTTATACTTTGGATTTTTCTTTGACAGTATAATATTACTAGTTCTAGTAAGATCTGTTCCTTGAACTTTGTTTGAAATATTATAATGTCACTAATTTATTGGCATATATGTGAAAAAAAACACAATGATATGTAAAACTAGGTTCTTGCTTTCAGATTTCAGATCGATGGTAAAAGGACTTGTAATCTCTAACTGAATGTTACTCTTCAAAAAGTTGTGTGTTTCTTAGATTCTTGTAGTGCTACTGTTTTCTTTCATGAAGAAAGAGGCGGTTATTTTCTTCAGGCAACTGCAAATTTTGATTTATAGTGTCTGCAACTGTGCATACGAGATAGAACTCAGATCCACTTCAAGTAATCTTGAATTTGAGAACCAAAATTGCCTAGAATATCACCACAAGATGCTTGGATCAACAGGAACTACCTTTATGTTTACAAAGAGGCAACTCATAATGTGTTAGGTTTTCACATCTAACAAGGTAAGAAAAGGAAAATTCTAATGATTGTTAAGGGCCGATGTTTTTGCACAATCATGGTCACTTTTCTTCATTAATCTGATTGTCTGTTGAGTGAATAATTTTTCTGTGTGGAGAACAATGAGAGATTGCTTCCAAGTGATATGGATTACCTTATTTTTTGTGTAGATGTTATCGAATATTAAAAACAGGATGATCTTGTTGGTTAATTTTAGTAATACATAACATAAGCCTCATCTCTTATTCTCTTTGCACTGCAGAGCGCTCAACCACTCTAAAATCAGGAGATTTTAGTGGATCTGAAGTTCAGTCAGCCAAAAGGAAGAGAAAGAATCAATTCCGTGGAATCCGCCAACGTCCATGGGGCAAATGGGCAGCTGAAATTAGAGATCCCCACAAAGGAGTTCGTGTTTGGCTTGGGACATTCAACTCTGCTGAAGAGGCTGCAAGAGCCTATGACGCCGAAGCTAGGAGGATTCGAGGAAAAAAAGCCAAGGTCAACTTCCCCAGAGCAGCAAGCTCAGGTTCCAAAAAGATCATCCCAAAACCGACTGCTCTAAGAACACATGTGCCAAATCCGTCAGAAAAGTGTGAATTTAAGCAGTCCAACCATCAGAATGATCAGTGTTGTGATCTCTATTCTACTATGAGCCACTTGGAAGAGGAGTTGGCTAAGCCTGTCTATTTGAATACCTTGCCAACAAAAGAACCATCTGCACCTGGTGAAGGTATGGAGTTTCATTCCGATGAGGGAAGTAACTCTTGTGGTGATCCAGACTTTGGATTGTTATCAGTTCAAGTTCCCACTGCTGACAATGGATTGTTGTCTCTGAAGAACTTGAAAGACAATTGTGGAGTGCAAGTCTCAGAAGAAGAGACCACTCCGGTCGATCTATCTGAAGACTTATCTGCTTTCGACCCATACGCGAACTTCATGCAGTTTCCGTACCTTGAGGGAAGCTCTGATTTGTCAATCGACTCCCTATTTGGTGGTGAATTAGCTCAGGGTGATCTGGCTGATGTGAACTTATGGAGCTTTGATGAGCTGCCCATGGAGGGCAGTCTTTACTGAGGGACTTGGACCTTAGCCACAGGTGCTCTGTAAATAGGGAGAAAAACAAGCATCCCAAAGATGGCACTCTTTCTCCTGCTGTTCTGCTTATATGTATATCTCCTTGTTTGGAGAACAATTGGTTATTTTCCTTACATGTCATTTACTTTCTCTTGGAAACCAATAACGATGAAGGATCTGGAGGACCAGAATTGTTTGCGTGAATCAGTATGTTGTTTGCTTTTGGACTTGAGTTTTATCATTATTCTGACTAGGGCTGTGAATGTCTTGGGAGATGCTTTTGAACCTGCTTTATTTATTATTTTCATTGTTCCTGTCTAGTTCAAAATATATGGCCATTAATGGTTGTTGCATAGATTGCAAATATATTATGCATGGTTAACAATTATGATTAACCGAATCCAATTACCTGTGAAGACAATGAACATGTTCTTATGAATGTATCAGTTCTTGTGTTGAATTCCTAGTCATGACCTTTGTCAATTCCTGATATGTTATGTCCTTTAAGCAGCTTGTTAACTTGTAGTTTTCACTATTTTCCTTCTAGTTTTCTGTATTATTTTCTGAAAGAGGTATTATTCTTCAAGATATAAATCGTCGAGTGAAACAGATAAAAGTGACTTGGACTGACATAGGAGTATGTTCTTACAGCATCACGACTACATGCTACATGACCGACAATGGCCAAATGGCCCATGGAAGGCAGCTCATGCGCTGCTAACAAGTAGATCATGGTCGTCAGCCAACCTTGCACCACAACACATGGAGAAGGCTACTCTTCAGAAGAGGAAGAAGAAGACTTGCCAGGCTCGCTGGAGCTTCTACGCCTCACTTCAAGCAAGTGCCTGGGCCTCCGATTCGCGGCGGACCATGGCGGCGTAAACCCCGTCGACGTGGTTCTCCAGCAGCGATCGGTGGCTCCCGAACTCCACGACGGTCCCGTCACGAACGACGGCGACCCGGTCGGCGTCCCGGACGGCGGCCAGCCTGTGGGCGATGATGATCGTGGTGGCCCGCTTCGAGGCCTTCCGCAGCGCCTCTTGCACCTGCCTCTCGGACTCCACGTCCAACGCGCTGGTTGCTTCGTCCAGCAACAGGATCCTTGATCTCTTCAGGATCGCGCGCGCGATCGCGATCCTCTGCTTCTGGCCGCCTGATAGCTGCACCCCGCCCTCCCCTACCTGCGCCAGCGTCGTGCCACCATGAGGAAAGAACCAGGAAGATTGCAGCAAAAGGAATATTGGAATGTCTACTTGCAGCGATGGCGTCTTACCTGGGTTTCGTAGCCTTGAGGTAGTCCGGAGATGAACTTATGGATGTGGGCCGCCTCTGCCGCCTCCTCGATCTCCGCCCAAGAAGCGCTCTGGTCGCCGAACCTGATGTTGTCTCTTATGCTGCCGCCGAACAAGCACGGCTCCTGGCCCACCAACGCGCACTCCTTCCTCAGCCACTTCACGTCCGCCTCCCGCACGTCCAGGCCGCCCACCACCACCCTCCCCGCCTCCGGGTCGTAGAACCTCTGCACCAGCCACACCACCGTCGACTTGCCGCTCCCGCTGTCCCCGACCAACGCCACCGTGCTCCCCGCCCTGACCCTCATCGAGAACTCCCTCAGAACCGCCACGCCGGGGCGCGACGGGTACGAGAACGTCACCCTCCGCAGCTCCACCTCCATCAGCCTACCCCCCTCGACCCGCCGCCCCTTCTGCGGCCCTTCGGTGTCCATCATCGACGGCCGGCGCTTGATGATGCGGAGGACGCGGTCGATGGCCGCCGGCGCACGGGAGGTGTTCGGGGCAAGTCCCGCGAGCTGGCCTACGGAGAAGGAGCTCAGGACCAGGATGAGAAATATCTTGCACACGTCCCCGAAGCTGGAGTAGCCCGACTTCATCATGCGGGCTCCGGCCCATAGGATCAGGGTGTACGCACCGTACATGGCTCCCTGCGAAAGCCCAAGACCGAGGCCCATGAGATGTGCCCTGTTCATGGACTTGTTCATGGGCTCCGATAAGACGCGGTCAAACGTTGACACGATCCGCTGTTGGGCCGAGAAGGCCGCGATCGTCCTCACGCCGGACACCGCCCCGGCGGCGACGCTGCTGGCCGCCGCGTAGGCGCCGTCGTCCGACCTCGGCCCGAGATTCACGAGCAAGCTGAAGTAGCTGGCGCCGAGGGTGAACGGCGCCACGGCCATCGCCACGAGCGTCAGTCTCCAGTCGAGCGCGAACGATGCGCCAAGCCCGGCGGCCACCGAGCCGAGTCCCATCAAGAGGACGGAGTGCCGGTCGCCAAGCATCGACCGGAAGGCGGCGCAGTCGACCGACAGCCACGAGATGAGCGCGCCAGTCGAGTTCTCGGCGAGGTCGAACCACCCGGGCTCCTGCCGGAGGATGGAGCGGAACAGGCGGTTGCGGACGCGTATCGTGAGCCGCGTGCCTGCCCAACCACAAAGGCCGTGTTGGCCCGTCATGGTGAGGATGCAGCCGACGCCGAGGCCCACTATGGCGACAGCGAGGTAGCCCACTTCTCTCTTCATCTTGCTGGTGTTGGGTTGGAAGTAGACTTGGAGAGCTTCCCCTAGCAGCAACGGGAAGAAGGAGAAAATGGCACCCGCTGTTATACCCAGAATGAACCCAAGCAGGAGGACTGGGACCTCTGGCCTCTGAAGACCCCATATATCTGATGTGCTAATCTTGGTAGGCCTCTGTGTGTCCATTTGTTCCTCCACTCCATTCACGGACTCCACGCACTTGTGCGTGGAGACGAGGGTGGCGGACTCTACTTCGAAGCTTTTGTACTGGGCCGTGTTGAATGAGCCGGGCCGGATTGGTCCAATGCTACCTTTGGATGCATTGATGCTCGTGTTGTCGGTGGCGAGTTTTACTAGGGCAGCATAAGGCCCGGCCCGACCCATGAGGTCGTGGTGGCCGCCCGACTCCACGACGGAGCCGGAGTCGAGGACCACGATGGTGTCGGCAGATCGGACCGTGGCCAGGCGGTGGGCGATGACGACGGTGGTCCGGCCGGCAGAGAAGCGGTCGATGGCCCGTTGGACGGTGGCCTCGGATTCCGGGTCGAGGGCGCTCGTGGGCTCGTCGAGGAGGAGGATTCTAGGGTTCCTTATCATGGCCCGGGCCAGTGCAATCCTCTGCTTCTGCCCACCTGAGAGCTGAGCCCCACGCTCACCTACCTGCCGATTGTGTCGAGATCACGGAAAGTATTAAGCTTTGGATTGTTCTCATTTGTTACAGAGCTACAAAAGAATGGAGCATCACCTGCGTGTCATAGCCCTCAGGAAGGCCCGAAATGAAGGTGTCAGCGTTTACGGCGGCGCAGGCGGCAATGGCTTCTTTCCTGGTCGCGTCTTCTCTGCCCATCATCACATTCTCGAGGATGGAAGTGGAGAAGAGGACGGGCTCCTGTCCTAGCAGCGCAATCTGCTCCCTCAGCCATTGGATCCTTAGGGTTCTTAGATCATGTCCATCCAAGCGGATTGATCCTGGTAGCAACAAGTCATGACGATTCTGAGCTTGGCAATGTGAAGTGGATGGGTGAAGTTGAGCGAGCCATTACCTCGGCATGGATCGTAGAACCTCTCGATAAGGGCAAAAATGGTGGACTTGCCGCCGCCACTGGCGCCCACGAGCGCCAAAGTCTTGGACGCAGGGATCGTGAGATCGAGATCGCGAAGGATCATCGTGTCGGGCCGAGAAGGGTAGGCGAAGTCGACGCCTCTGAACTCGACTCGACCTCTCACGGACGCGAGCGCTCGCCCGTCGGAGCTGTACGGGTCGATCTCCGGTGTTCGATCGATGACCTCGAACACCCGCCCCGCTGCCACCGTGCCCTGTGCAAACTGCGCGTAGTACGACAGCGACAGAGCTAATCCCCTGCAACAAAGTATTTGCTTTCAGGAAGACACGATTCAGATTGAACACGATCGAGAACGTACGCAGAGAGCGGTAGAACGAGTACCTTCCACCTACATTGACAGCGAAGAAGCAAGCAATGGCAGCTCCTCCGGTGATCTCCCCCTTGGCCACAAGCAATGACCCATACCAGAAGGCCAGAGCCCACTGGGAGTAGGTCACCAGATAAATCACGCCCATGCCCGCACCCTTCGCAAACCCTGTCTTCACTCCGATCGGTGCAGACTTCTGGAGCCCCTCCTCGTACTTGGCCGCCATCTCGTCCTCCATCACGAACGACAGCACGGTCCGGATCGAGGTGATTGCTTGCTGAGCTACATCACCGGCTCTTCTGTAGGAAGCCTGGCAGCCATCGCAAAGATAAAACTCTCACTGTGGATGCCAATAGAGGCAATGATAGTTCTACTGTGTCTTTTACCTCTTCTGCTGCGGCGAGGCCGCCGTAGATGGCTTTGTAAGCGATGCCACAGAACATCATCACTGGTGTGACGGAGAAGACCACCAAAGCCACCTTCCATGCCTCGAGGAAGCCCACCATGTAGCCGCAGATGAATGTGAAGATGTGGTGGACAAAATGTGCCACCTACGTCCACATCAATTATGTCAGCAATATCGGAGCTTGCCTTCACCAACAAGCTGAGAGTGTCTATTTTAGCCGCAATACCTTCTCCCCCATCACTTCCTGGATCAGTGCAACGTCACTGGATATGCCAAGCATCACATCCCCGGTGCTCATCTCGGTGTCGAAGAACCCGATATCCTGCCTCAGCGCAGCTCGCAGGTACTCTCGTCGAATCCTCTGCGCCGATCTTTCACCCACCATTCGCCAGCAGGTGATCTCTGCAGCCAGACATCAAATTACCTGATATCAGTATTACGGATCACCGTCGCTCTTAACTGACATCCGTCTTCTCATCTGTCGATTTCCACCTCTTACCCATATATGATCCGATGACCACTATCGCCGCAAGCGCAGCCATGTAAACAGATATCTAAACACAAGGAAGAACAGCATCAGATCAACGATATATTTGAGCTAAAGAGTTCTGTATGGTATTATAAGCCGCAACTGCGTACCCTCTCGACTTCCTTTATCATTTGACTTCCGGACTGAGAGGCCATCTTGTTGACGACATCACCGAACATGTAAGAGTACCAGGGAAGTGATCCACCACCGATCAATGATCCAACGCAACCCAAGAAGATGAGAAACAGGTCCAGTGCGTTCGAGTACTTGAACAAGCTGAAGAGGCCGACCGGCCGACTCGCCTGTACTGCTTCCTCATCATCACCATCGTCATCGCTCTCTCTGCTGTCGTCGCTCATATCATGCCTACGGTGTTCTTCCCTATCATGCGAGAATGATACATCATGATGTGTCTGATGATTCGATGAATGATCGATATTGAAAGAGACTCGGTTATGCCGAGCAGCTGCTGTCGTCGGTGCACTGTAACCAAACAGGCTAAATTCATCTTGGCTATCGAAGGAGTTGCTTTCAGCTGGATTCCATGGCCCTTTGGCCACCAAAACAGATGAATTATTGGCCTTACTGAGCTCGACAGAACGATCATAGTTCGTGGTCGAGACATAGCTGCGGAGTTCCAGCCTCCTGGCTTGCCCCGACGGACCATGGGACCGAGGATCCGCGGCCCGCGAAACGTAGTAATCGTTGGCCGACCGGCGGAAGATGGTGCGGCTGTGGTTGCTGCCGGGGGTGTCGTCGGCCGGAGTCCACGGGCTGAGGGCGGCGCCGAACCCGCTCAATTCGCGCCACCTGCTCGGCTCGAACTGCCACGACGCCGAAGTCTGCCATGACACGTCGTCGCGGTAGGGGGATCTGCGGCGCGGCGCGGGGCTGCGGGCGTAGGAAGGCGTCGGATGGTGGCCACGGAGGGCAGAGCGACCCCGGGAGTGGGAACTGCGGCTGACGTCGAAGGAGAAGCCGGCCATGGAAGAGACAGGGAGGGAGGGAAAGCAGCTGTGAAGGAATTGATTTGATGGGAGGAGAGAACAAAGCATGCAGTGTGAGGCTAATATAGAACAAAGTATTTGAGTCGGAGAATGTGATGAAGTCAACGAGCATGAAGGCTTTGGTGGCACCGCTGTTTTTGGAACAAGCATTTGATGTTGCAGCAATTATACAAACGATGAACAAAACAACAGAATTTTCTATTAGTCAAATCTAGCGATGCTCTGCCGGCAGATGTAGCTGTGTTCATTTTCCAACAAATGTTCTCTCGATAGTTTTTGGGACTAATCAATGTGCCAATTCAACCAACAAAACCTTTCAGTGTTTCCAATCGACTGCCAATTGTTAGTAGTCAATTTGATGTGCTCGGCTCACAGTCCAAGAACACCAGATGTCCACAGGGGACATGCTCAGCTGACACCCTTAGTGGCACGGCCAAGCCTGCCTTGACATTTTGTAATCACACAAGCAGTTCTTCTGTATGAGAAACTAAGGGGTAACATATCAGATCTGAAGAAGAATGTGTCACAAATGGCACACCTTTTGCATATGACACTATCCATCCTGATGATAGATGAATTCCATTTGTTCAGTGACCATCAATAAAGAAGAAGCAACAATATCTTGCTCACGGGCAATTTTGTGGTCATAATCAATAAGCAATAAATCTTTTTTTTTTTCAAGCCATAACATTCTGAAATGCAAAGAACAAAGACAAATCAGCTTTCTAAAGGATGTCTTTGATGACATAAATACAAATGACAGAAAGAAAGAAACAGAATAGCACCGATCATTCTTTCTCATTTGTACAAATCAATTGCTTACTGCCACATTCTTTCTTGGTCTTTTTCTAACAG